AGTGTTCAAGTTTGTTGTTGTATTTTGGTGGGCAGTATATTGCTGATATGGTAATTGTAATCTATAATTGAATTAAAACATTAAAATCGTAATGTAATGACATTAGGGTTTATACAAAAACCGAAATTTAAAAAAAACCGTTTTCAAATTTCAACTTGTATACAAAACCATTTTATACCGGTTCTCGATTTTTTCCCAAAAATAAAGACAAAATGATTTTTATAACTTATTTTCTTTTTATTTCACTTTATTCAAAAATAATAAAATTAACAAAATATTATCTCACAAAACAAAACTTCTATCATATTACATAAAACTATAATCAAATAAAATGTATTCTATAGAAAACCATACAGATAAATGAATAACATAGACATTTATCAAAATTACCATAAAATATTACTTTATTTCTTATTTTTATCTCAGAAAACATGATTTTAAAAAGGAAGGAATGTCTATAGAACCATTGCTGAAAATGGTCCTTGATTTGGATAGAAAATTTGCAGAAATGGACTATATTATCTCACTTGCTACATGTATATAAACGTCGTATCATTACTAGTAGTAGAAGTTTTTTGATGTTGTTGCAAGATTTATTCCATGGACGTTCGTAGCTTATTTGTACAGAGATCTTTCCCGAATGTTTATCGAAAAATTGCAGATCGAAGAACTTATATATTTAAGGATTTGATTGAAAAAAAAAATGAGAAAATAAAGAAGGAAAATATGCGCGAGGACATAAACTATGAACAGTTACTACTGAAATTTATGATGACTCACACGTTGTATTTTATAGAGAATATAAAGTGCATAATTGATTATAGGGAATAAATTACATTTTATATAATTTATAATTTTATATACTATTCTATTATATCTTATATTGGAAGTTAGCATAGTGAACCAATAATAAACTGAAGTATAGTTTAAACAATGCCACATGCAACATACAAAACTGGATGTCAGAGAGAGGTCTGATACTTGCGCCAGAAAAAACAGAAGCGGTGTTATTGATCGGAAGGAGGAAAGCAAAACTTATAAAATTTACCATATCAGGCGCAGAAATAATACCGAAGAAAGTTATTAAATACCTGGGGGTCTCCATTGACAGTAGCCTGTCCTACGCCAAGCATATCAGGGCAGTAGCCATCCGAGCAGCAGACACAACTACAGCTGTAAGCAGGTTGATGCACAACAAGGGTGGACTGAAGTCTAGCAAGAGAAGATTGCTAGAAGTAGTGGCACAATCTATTATGCTGTACGCTACTCCTATATGGGAACATGCAATGACAATCCTAAGCTATAGGAAGGCGCTAGAAACGGTCCAACGGAGAGGAGCAATAAGGATATGCAGCGCGTATAGGACAATTTACCGAGACGCAGTGCAAGTGATAGCTGGAGTGCCAGCAATAGAGCTCCTTGTTCTGGAGAGAGGTGAGAGGCAGAGGGGCGCGACCAAAGCGGATGCTAGAGCCAGATTGCTTCAAAAATGGCAAGATAAATGGCACAGGTCGGAGAAAGGAGCCTGGACTCGGCGCCTAATTCCGCAAATAGAGCCTTGGTTAAGCAGAAAGCACGGTGAAACAACATTTCACCTGAGCCAGGCGCTGTCTGGCCATGGATGCTTTGGCAAGTACCTGCATTTCATCGCGAAGAAGGAGGATGAAAGGTGCTGGTACTGCGAGGAGGACGATAGCCCCGAGCACACGCTATTTAGGTGCTGCAGATGGGTTGGAAGGAAGCACAGAGCGGAGGCAGAATTGAGAGTTCTGCTAGAGCCAGAAAATATTATCGGTGAAATGCTGAGGAGTGTGGACAGCTGGAATGTTCTAGAGGCGTACATAACAGAGGTGCTGCTAAGCAGGAAGAAGACGAGCGGAGGCTGCAGAGGGCCTACGAGGATAGTGGCAGTGGAGGCCAGCATTAATATGATGTAGGAGAAGTGCCAGAGAGGCAATGACAATCAGCATCGCAGAGTGGTATAGCGAAGAAGGGGAGAGGTTTTAGTGCGATAAGAATCCCACAGTACCATGACTCCACCCATTGTCCCTATGTAAGGTTTCCTTTCCTCTACAAAAAAAGGTAAGAAGATAATAGCATAAAACATAAACATATTATTATCGTTCTTTCATTCAAAAATAAATCAGAAAATAATATTAACAAATTGATTACTAATCCTAAATTTAAAGATACATAATTTATAAACAGAAGAATTTAAGATCCAAGATCCAAGTTTGATAAAAGTTTGTATCCTATTCATTTTAAATTGTTTGAAAGAACATATATATACGCATCGTAGAAGGAATACTTCGTGGTCCGTCCACATTTATGATTCGATTTTTACGCGTTCCTTGGTCCATTTTCTCAAGGTATCCGCTAGATACAAAATGTTACAAAAGTTGCACGTCTTTATCATCTTATCCACAAGTTTCCTCGTCTTTATAAAAATATACCTACATGTATTCGTCCTCTCTGATGACAATTTGGCTCTCTACTCTCTTATTGGTTTCATTCGAAAATGAGGATGATGACATATGTTTTGAAACTGTGGGCGATGTTACTAGAAGAGTTGGACAAGATTAACATTATTTTAAAGAGGAATAGAGATCAAATTCGTACGGAATTTGTCAAAAATCTGGCATCGGCGTTAAGAGAGCAGTTGCAAAAGATTGATTAATTGATATCTATTGTGGTGCCACTGAAGTATTTGGTGGAATTGTATAAACAGAAGAATTGCCAAGAGTTGAACAATAAGATGATTAGACAAAATATTTTTTCCTAAAACAACAAGGAATTCTTTCTATACATCACTCTCATACGTTTTAGGAAATTCCTTTTTATAAACAAATTATCACTGATGATCGAAAGTTTTTGTGTATTTTGAGCTGCATCCAAGAAAGAAAACGGTCAATTCAGAAGTTTACTGTCAATAACTAATAAAGAAGTAATCTAAAAAATGACTTTTCAAATCGTGTTACAGCAAAACAATTTTTCCCATATAAATTAATGTAAAATACGATATTACGTGTCGAAAACAAAATATGTATAACGTTTATTAACCCTGTTCTCGCTTTTTAATGATTTTATATTTAATATCTATAGTTATTTTTATTTGTTTTACTCGATAAGCGAATTACGAGGAGCTCGTTAATCGAGGTTCCACTATAATTTTCTTATAGGGCTATTTAAATTTTATTTTTGTATAGTCATTATCAATACCTCGTATAGTGCGGCTTTGATCAGTCCGGATTCACTATAGTCCAATTTGAAAATTTCAAAACAAACTATTAAAAAATGTAAATGAACAAAATACAAATAATTTCTCAAGAATTAATAAACAAAATTAGTTATTTATACATAAATGATTTTATATATGCAATCAAGTCTCTGTTATTGCATTTCATTTTGATACCTTTTTAAATACCAATTTCAAATTGTTTGGAAATCGATTATTCGGACTATACGTACATCAATATAGAAAATAAATGACTATTATTTCCGTAATTTTCATTTAATGAGCAATTATAACAAATTTGAATAGTTTTATGGTTCAATAATAAATATCAGTTATAGATGAACATTAGAAAAAATTAAATATAATGTCCAGTTGCTTCCTCTTTGTTGCGATGTGTTTCTTCCATGTAAGTCTGCGATCCAAGATCAAGCCCTTGGATCAAGTATTTGGCATCGTCGGCTTGCGGGATGATTTTGTTGTTGAGTGTGACATACTTCAGGTTCCCTTTTTGAGGGTGAAGGTGACATGACTGGATTTGGTTTCGTTGAATTTAATCCGCCACTTCCTGAGCCAGCCCTGATACGCGTCGAGATGACACTGGAGTCCACGCACAGCAATAACCGGATCCCCGTTGGACGAAAGGATCGCGACGTCATCTGCGTAGGTAGCTATAGTGGTTTCCCGGGATGTCGGCAGGTCGTATGTAAATAGGTTATACAACACCGGTCCCAAGATGCTTCCCTGCGGCACGCCCGATCCGATTGGATACAGTAGTGTTACTTCACCCTCCATCTTCACTTGGAAGAATCTATCATACAAAAACGACTTTAATATTCTGTAAAAAGTATGAATCAGCGTGCTCTTAATTTTGTAGAGCAAACCAGCGTGCCACACTTTGTCGAAGGCTTGTGTTATGTCGAGGAACACAGCGGAGCAGTACTGCTTTTCCTCCATGGATCGTCTGATGTCGTTCGTCACGCGATGGATCTGCTCGATGGTGGAGTGATGTCGTCGGAATCCGAACAGCGAGTAGTCCGTCACAGGTGTTCCGGACAGATTTTCGACATAGTCCTGGAATTTCTGGTTTCTGTACTTACAAAGCATATCTTTGAGGTCTTTCGTTGCCTTGTTGAAAACGGATTTGTGGATCGGTAATCTGCTATTCTGCCATATGCGTCGCAGCCTCCTCTTCTCGGCAATCGCTTTCTTGATTGTAAAGGGGTAAGACAGTGTTTCCGCTTTCTGGACTGTTGCAGGTGTTGCTGCCCAGGCCGACCTCTGGATTAAGAAGTTTAGTTCTTCTATAGCCCGATCGATATCCATCTCCGTTTTCA